GAGCAGTTGCTTTACCTTATCAAAATACGTGCGACTAACTTGATAAGTTTGCTACTATTATTATACAATGATGGTCAGATTTCAAACTAATTGATCAATCCGCAATACGTTGTGCAAGGCTAATACCGTCAAGGTCGTCAGTTAAGTCATGATGTTAAAGTCGTAAGAATTTTTTAGGAAGATTTTATCAAAGTCTGCTACGAAAATCAAAGATTTTGCCGATGATCCAATTGAATCATCTCTACGAAAGTGCAGTTAGAATCAGTCATCACGGTGTTAGAAGTAATCACCACATCAAGGTGCGGTTCCTATTATGGCTCCAAAATCGTCTGCCTTCTTCTATTGAGATGCTTAAAGGCAGTGGCTCGGCAAAACTCAACAACTCAAAATTTTAACGCGGTAGAACTCCTTATTGCCCAAGTATGAAAACAGTGCAATTCCGGTTCATAGCATGCCTTCCTTGCCGAGAAAATTGCTCTCAAACTTACACGCGCAAGCCATTCTTACACGCATCCGGACGAGTTAGCAATTTCCTTCTCACCGTTGGAAGCTGCCCGCCGCAATGCTATAACTATTGGGTCCTGCAACGATTCGGCGTCATCAGCCTTGCAGTACTCGTCCAATTCCAAAAGGAAGGGCATTGAAAAACGCTCGTTTTCGGCATTTTCAAGCTCTCAAAAGTGGATTTTCGGAATTAGCGTATTGAATAACCCCAGGTAAGCGGAAATTTGACTATGTTGAGATTTGCCGAGCCACTGCCTTTAAGCTTTTCACAAGTATGCAGTGAGCAGTTTGCTGGGCAAAGATAAAACTGATCGAAACACTGACCAATGTCATGTCCTAAAAAAACCTCTTCAAAAAACCTCTGTTCTAAAAACCTCTTCAAATTTGTTAGTAAAACAGGCATCATCTAATGGCACTTGATTAAAAGTTAATGCAGCTTAGATTACATTCTGGAAGCAAGGTGTATGAGAGATGTACAAGACTATAATGTGGCTAGTTGTAAGCTGAAAGAATAGAATTAGACTCGGTTTTTTGAAACTCAAGTCAAGATTCACATGCTCTTAAAGAATCCCAGCTTTCAGTATATGTAGGTATTAGGTTTTGCAGAAATTAATGCACGTTCCCTACACAATCGCTGCAGGGTAGATATAAAAATGTTGAAATATATCATTTGATGGAACAAAGTAAGCTCTACAAGACTGTTAAAACGCACAAAGTTAAGTTTGAAAGCAAAATAAAAAAATGGTACTGATAAAACTGAAAAATGGTATTTTTTCAAGTTTAGGACTGACTGCAAACATTTGGAAGTATAACCATGAATTTCTAGACTTCAGCAAGCTCTACTTGTCGAGAAATATCAAACAAAATTATCTAAAACCCCAAAAATCGATATTCTTGTACGGCCCAATTCTTTCAAATTACAGCCATGAGAAATTGCAGCAAGTATGCATATAAAAGTCTAGTTTGGGGAGTACATGCGTGACGAATCGGAGGTTCGCTGGATCTTTTTTTCGGAAATGTCTGATTTTCGAATATTTAATTTTTTAAGATAGTGAAATCTTCAAAAAAATTTTTTCACAGATTTTGCTCCCAACATAGATTGGAGTTTGTGCGAATATATAAATGAAGTATTGTAGAGTTTACTTTGCTCCAACCAAGTTATGTTTCCTACATTTTATATCTAACCAGCCGTAATTGTGTAAGGAATTTCCGGACAGCCTAATTCAAGCCTAAGCCTATTAGCTTTGTTTAAGCTGCCTTGAAAACTTCTCTAAAGGAAAGGCGCCTTGGCTATATTCTTGGGAACTAGGGACGCTTCTCAGATTTTGCACAAGGTGCAATATGGACGTTCTTTCTCCTTTTTGTCCATTTCAAGGGCGGGAAAGAGCTTGGTTTTGATGTTTTGAAGTTATATGAAGCAATGGAAAAATCCCATTTTATATAATGTTCAAGCTGTGCTGAATGCAGCAGCAAATACTAAGCTTTTAGGAACGTCGATTACATCCAACAAGAAGTTCAGGCGGACCTCAAGACTTATGCATCAGGTAAGAGATGCATGCTGAACTGCAATATACATTTCTAGACCTCATTGACATTGAATGTAATTTGATCAAAAGAAGCTAAACTTTTCTTTGCGCATTCTAACACCTTTGTGGTTGATAAAATCTTTAAGCATTCAAAGCTGTGGTTTGGCGTTAAACCGAGGATCGCAGCGATAATCAAAAAATGCTGAATCATAGATTTGCCCAGCCTCTGAAACTACTTGAAACGTGCAAGTTTCTCCTGAACGAATATTTGATTCATACACTCAGTCTGCTGACGAGGATTTTATCTCTATATTCTCGTCGTATCGTAACCGTATCCAGCTGACCAATCAGCGTCCTCAGGAACAACGTCAGTGGAGGACATGTCGCCGAAATTTGGAAGGATCCCGCGCGGATTTATTGCAGGAACGCATCTCCGTGTATATACAAGGATGCGTATTTGTTGCAAACGACCGAGGGGACCGCCCATTTTCGCCACATATGGTACTCTACCCTCGTCAATGCTCAACTGCTAAACATAGTTTTATAATAGGAATAAATTTTGGACTGGTAACAAATAAATCGATAGTTGCTTATGGATGTGAGGGTACGGTTGATCCTCTAAGTGACTTCCTACAAGAAATACTCCAACCATTTATGAGGAACTTTATGCTTAGCAGAGCAGCACATTGACGTTAGAGCAATTTGGTAGCATCCTAGCATCCCAACGCTCACCTTTCCTCAGACCGCATTGAATCTCAGAAGATTTTTTCACTCTCTAAAAGGTTACGGCTGAGTGATGTTTGCAACATCTCTCGTAGTCTTTTTTCTTTATCTAAATCACTTCTTCTTATGAAAGCTATCAGCGATAATATTCTTTTTGCGCTCCAAAGAAAGGTCAATAAAGCTTTATGATGCATCGCGTAACAAGTGCTATTATAACCTCATTGCTGTTTATCAAAAGATAATAGATCTCATAAGCGCCAAAGTGCAAAAGCAGAAGTGAAAAGCAGTTATCACAATTCAGATGCACTTAATAATAAGGCCAGCATCGATCAGAGCACAAAAGCCTTGGATAAAAGATTACGTACAAAGTGGAACTAGTAATTAAGCACTGCAAGGGACAGATCCTAAAGGGATGCAACTTTTCTGGTTTGAGTTTTTTGCATGATTCGTCTGAAACAAACTTGGAAGCATCCGATCCATACATTTTATTGATATGGTCAATTATGGTGAGACAGATATTTCTTCTTGTTCTCCATAGGCTATAACGATTAAGAAACCAGTCCAAAAAGGATTTTTTTTGAAGCTGAAAGAAAGCAAAGTGCAAAATCATTTGAGTTTGTTGCTTGGGATAAAATAGACATGTAATTAGCTGCTTGAATTATTTTATCAATTTGTCACACTCGTGAGAATGTGGGCATCGTTCCAGCCAAAATCCATGCTCCTCGGATTGCTAGGTAGTCTATAAGCATGCGGCCCACGGCTGTCAAAATAGGAGAGGCCGGGGGGGGGGGGGGGAGGAGGGGGCAAAGAACCCATGTTGCACCTCTCATGCGAAAACAGAGCCATGGAAAGGCCCAAGGATGATAAACATAAACGCCCCAAAGGACAGCGTCCAGGGCATTTGCGCGCGTGGGCGAGATTTGTACTTAGTGATTTTGGGCCCTTCTAAAGGGGCAGCCTTAGTGCTTATGCGTTAATAGAGACCAAACCCACAAAATGACCCAAGATTTACCTCCAAATCCATCTCAAACCGTACCCATTCCGACCAGACAAGCCACCTCAAATTATTCGACCACGCTGAATACGCTTGGATAGGCATGGTTTGTGAGGTGATGTTCGGTAGTAAATAAAACGTGTGAGTTGCGGCCTGGGCAGTGGATCAGTTACGCCCGCAATCAGCCAATGAAAGCCCATTCGTTCAGATTTTCTAAAAACTTCCTTCGAGGTTCAACGAAGCCAATTTATAATAGAAAATCGCATAACGAACAGCGTTCGGGCTAGTTTACTGTACATTTTCAATTCTGTACGCAAGTAGATGCTCTGGCCACAGTGAAGATGAAACTGGGAACGGGATTACTTATTTGGAAGTTGGGATACTTACCCCAAAGACCGCGCATCTATAGGCTGCTGCGCGACGAAGGCGCAATATTTTTGGGCGCGAAGGCGGCCTTATTAGCCGCAAAGCGCATGAGACGCAGGACTTGCGACGGTGAAGACACGCGCGCGCCGCATTCACGTCCGCTCAGCTTATACTGCTTCTGCGCCTTCGTCCTGCATTAGTCTTTACGTGTTCACCCTCTATTTAGAAAAACTCGTGCGCACACCCCACAGACAAGATCAGAGGGTCCTACAACGGCTCTGAGTCTTTGACCTTGTCTGGCTCTCTACTCGTCCATGATCAACCGAAGGGTATAGGAAAAGGGAAAAGCTCATTCGCCACCGCGTATTCGAGATCAGTGCAATGGATAAATCAGATGAGCGAAAACGGAAAACCGAGACTCTATGACTTTCTGCCAGAACAAACAATTGTGCAGTGCTTTCGCAACCCTACCAAATAATTACTGTAACAGTTTCAAGAGCAGACAAGTGACAGAGTGATGTACAGTGCAAAAGGCTTTGGATAATCTCAATTTTCCTTCACCTCGAAATACTTTATGATTTCTGACGCGTTAGCGTTTCAGATCTAAATCAGACATACGCGTCGTTCCTGAGTTTATCTGATAGGTTTGATATTTGAAGTTTTTCTCCTACTAAAAGCACTAAAAGAACAGTGATTTCCAATGATAATGAAGATATAGAAAGTTATAATGTGATTATTGCTATATTTATGTGTATCACGGCAATAAAACTATTTTTACCAAGGAAACTTCAAACAGTGTTGAGACATTTACGCTTTCTGAAAAAAACCTTCAAATGCAACATTCTAAATACTATATGGGACATTCCTTATAAATATGCGTCATTCTCGCGAAATACCAGTGTTACAATGTTTGTAGCAATCGCCTTTCTTTCACTCGTAGAGGTACTTCTCGCCTGCTCGCCTCTCCCCAATGGGCAAGGTGGGTTTTCTAATATTCGAGACAAATTGTCTTCTGAAGATAGTAAGGTTAACAATTGTTCTACATCAAGCGGAAGAGGAAAACTAGAAGCAATGATTTATTTTCTCTGTCAAGATACTCCCACCACAAAGCAGCTGAATAGGAGTTTCTACAAAATCTCATGCACTACGCCTTTTATGAATTCAACTTTAGAAATTCACAGTTTAAGTTTGCTGGGTCAAAGCTTGCTTTAAAGCTTCAAAATTGCTATCGGATAAAGACTAAATAGGCAGAGTTGATGACACCCCCCGCCTGCCACCAATACGCCCACTGGTCTGATGATTGCGCGCGCATGCCATGATTGGCTGACCGGTGAGGTCATTGGCTGACAGCACCACTTGCCAGTCGCGTTCTGGATCCGTGGGAAGACTGCTCCTTGCAGCATTCTCGCTTACGCGCAGTTTGACCTTGCAAATCGAGAAGGGTCAGAAATAAGATGAACCCAAGCTCCAAAGGGGGTGTAGGGCGTTAGGCGACAAACCCAATTTCTTGGACCCCAAAGAACTCCCCGTGCAAAACGTCTCCTCCGCCAAAAACAGGGGGGTGGGGGTCGGGGCCGATACATTACCCGACGCCAATGAAAAAATGGTGCATAGTCTTGAGTTACGGGATTTACGTTGCTTGCGTTTTGCAGGTTTTGTCGCCTAACGCTTGCCCTCCCCCCAAAGGTAGTGCTGGGCTATTGAAGTCATCTGAATTGCAGAGAAGCATCTATTTCTTCAAATAACTCATATGGATAAAATTCCCGTGCAGTTTGCGTGGGGTAAAGCAGCTATAGGTGTAGCTGCAACCGAGAACGAAGCAAAGAAGAATTTGAAACAAGCGGTTAAGAAAGCGGTGAGAGCTCTATTCATTTTTTTTGATAACAACAAGCTTATTTGCCTATAGATAGTTCAAACTGTCAAGCAAGAAGCTAAAGCAGCTGGAGTCGAGCATCTTGTCACCGACTTGGGTAAACAGTTCAAGCCAACAATTTACTATTATCCACTGCACTGTGATAACAAGATCACAATAAAAAAAGATATCGGCTGTCAAGGTTTGGGCTTTCGCTCGAGTTTACTCAAAGAATTAAATTTTGATTGCAGAAAAAACTGTGGACTGGTGCTGCTCTGCAACTGACAACTTGATTGACAAGATAGAAATTCCGGGACACCCAAATGCAACAAAACCGATCAGTCCAGTACCAGAGCCGTACCAACAAGTAATTGTGGATCTCAGTGTGGGTAAAAGACACATTCAAAATGTGCATAAAATGGCTAGGCACGTTTGCTCGGAACACAAAATTTCTCATTAGCGTGAGATGAGATTAGTATCGAATAGCATTAGAGTGATGGGTATGTTCAATGGTGCGTCATGTACCATTGCCATAGGATTTAAATAATCAGCACTCTAGATATACCGGGAGCGGACTTGATACCTACTTAGTTTTGAAAATCATATTTTTGGAATTTAAAAAGCTATGTTTTCAGATTGCGAATGCCGTTGTGGCAGGTTGGACAAAAGAGCAGTGGGCAGTCAAAATGGCAAACGTTGAGCAGAATCTGAGAAATAACAAAGACTATGGAGAAGCCTTCAGAAGTGTCTCAGTGAAAGTCCTTTGAGTATGACGTGAATAAGCGCTGCGAAAACAGTTTGAATGAAGTTGAGAAGCAATAATCACAAGAGTTTTCTGCAAAAGCGTTGAGAAATCCATGAAACCACAATATGTGAATTAGCATGGAACGTTCCCTGATGAACTAAGAACAGCTCCTACAAATCGCAGATTTTACGACTATCCAAGCAATCAAACAATAACGAGTGATTTAAAAAATTAGTGGTACATTAATGGCACTTACAAGGCAGTGTCCAGGCAAACCTGGGTGATATCTTGGGTCCGTATGTGGACACTGATTAGGAGACATTGGCTAAGCCAATGCTCGAGCAAAAGCTTGTGGGATTTATTCCTGAGAGAGAATGTGGAATTTAGACCCGTATTCCCTCCCAGCGGACCAATCAGCGCCTTCGAGCACGGTAGAATACGGTATATCCTGCAATTAGAAGTTGGATTTTTCTACCACCAATGAATCCTATAAGGTCCGCTGGGGCGATAGCTCAGCCAACACGTAAGAAACCCAGGTACCTTAACGTTCAAAGACAGTATCTACCTGAACACTGCTTTGAAATCTACTGAAAGATAAAAGATGAAACCTACGAGCATTCAGATTTCAGATAATCACACAAGTTAGCGCTCAGCTAAAAGCAAAGGCAGAGCCAAAGCACTAGCAACTCCTTGTAGCAATATGTATGATTCGGTAAACAGTAATTTTCAAAAAATCTTTTTTCTTGTGACAACGTGGGCATATTTTTTTAGTGAGTAGTATTGCATACTATACTTTTGCTTAAAAGAATATCTATGTTTCTAAGCAATTGTTAAGGTGAAAATCTATTGTTTTTACCGTTCCAAACTCGCTGTTAATGACTCGTAACAATTTGGTGTAAGCTGCTGGAAATGACCAAATTGACAATCGAGGAAACTTAAGATGAAATCCAAAATTTGTTAACATTAGCACAGCCATCAAAAATCTAAAAACCTCAAATGCAAATAAGGTATGCTATATAGCAGAGATCACTAGGACATTTGCGGGTTTGATTTAGAGGATTAAATGAAAATATGAGCTCTAAGGTTACAAGTCCGTAGCGACCGTAGTTTGTAAACAAAAGTATAGTAAAGTCGATACTCGTCGGATTGCGAACAAGATTCAACGTATTCTAAGGTCGCAAGCCACATGAGTAAGACGGATAGAAAGACTTCTGGCAGAATGAGTGATTATGAGCGAAGAAGATGGATGAAGTTCTGTGAGGGCTAGCTGATCTATGGAGCTCGGAAAATAGGAAGGTTAACATGCAGTCCCAACACAGATTAACAAAGAATTGTTCCCTCTATTGCTAAAGATTTTCATTATGTTGCTTTGCAACCGCTAGTGCTAGATTTAACAACTAATCTTATCAAAGAAATTGCTTATGAGCCTGAAAGTGCAACAAGTGCTAAGAGTGAAAGGCAATTATCACCTACGTTCTTTATCAGGTACATTTTCACACAAAATGCTCAAAGAAGTGTAGTGACAGAGATAATCTAAAATTTGCGCAGAGAGTGAAATGACGCACGTTGAGCAAAGTATTTGTAACTATTAATTTGAGCACTAAAAATCCCATTGAGCATCTTTTGAATGAAGAAGTGATTACGTTGGCAAAATTGCTTCAAATAAGTCGCATGCGTAAGACAGAGGGGGAAGAAAAGAGCTGACTGAGCATTCACTCTGAGGAATAACGGAAAGATGTGGATCATGAATTCATACTCATACAAACATTTTCAACTTTATGATCATAGCAGGCTTAAAATGGCTTATTAAAAGCAGCTAGTTTTACAAAAATTCCAGGTATCCAAATTTGCGTGGACTCTGACTTCCAGCGATCAAATAGGCAGCGGTTTATGGGCATACTAGAACCCGAAAGACCCGCACACCTTTTGCAGGATGTCCCAAATATATGGAAAAGATATGCCGATATCTTCTTCGCCCTAACAGTTTTCGGGGTTGGGTTGCCAAATCACTGAATTGTGGGTCTATTTTCAAATGAGAATCATGATGAATATCTGATCACTAGTTCCTCTTGTTTATTTATTTTTATTTCTTTACACACAAAGGTGAAAATCAGACCTCTTGCTGAACTCTTCAAGTCGTTTTCCTTCTTTAAAAAGATTTTGCTCCCGAACCCAAAGGCAGTTTTTTGTAGAAATTACCAGGGCTTGGCTGATTGTGGGCGAGTGGGAGGGAGACCTCAGTATAAATGGCTCGCCAATTCCGGAACTCCTTAAACGACTAATCCTCGAAGAATTTGACAATCTGCTACTGCTCGATAATTTTGAAGGAGGAAAAATTACAGAAAAACAAAAAAATTGCAGATAACTACGCAGAAGTAGCAGCAATAGGTTTTTTTTTCAATTTCAGCTATGTTCGGAAAACGTGAAAATACTCCCAAAGTGTAGCCAAGTTGTAGTCGTAGACTCAAAAACATAGGAATCCCAAATGATAGAAGCCAAATTTTTGCGAAATTTCGCGAAAATGTCGCAGAAGCAATCTTTCGTGGTAGTAGCTCAATCCATCTGGCAGTCCGCGGCGTACAAAAGGATTATTGTTGGATTATGAACAATTTCTGGAAAAGTTATGCATCAGTGAAAGCAGATCTTGCTCCAGAAATAGTCTCAGATACCTGAAATCTTTGTTACCAAATAAATTAGAATCACTTGAGCTACACACAAGAATTGCACTTTTAGAAAAGCTCTAGTCCATAAGTAGACACCGTAGGCGCAAGTTCTATTACACCAGTGTGATTACATATCCAAGCAGTTTCAAAAAATATTTTGAAGTTCTTTTCTGAAATCACAGAGGTTACATACCCATTCGCGAGGGGCTTCACTATTCTGCAAATTTTTCGGAAGCGGCTATTTGGCAGAGATGTCAGTGTACAGAAAGTTTCTACCGTATCGTCACAGTATTCAAATGAGATAGATGATCTGTTTCACAGCAAGTCTAAGTAGGATGATCTGATGATAGCCGTACCTTTCCAGGTTACAGAGCACTTTCTTTAGTCTAACCCATGCTTGACCCAGCTACATTTCACAACAAAAAAGCCCACAAGAGCTGAAAGGATATTAGACAACATACTCAAACATAAACATCGTGCAACCTTTCATTCTATCTAATCAATATCCAGTGATTAGGAAAATTGGTAACCAAATAATGGGCTTACAGTAACAGAAGAAATTAGTTGCGATCAATGTCCAGTGGAAGTAAAGGTCTGACTCAAGTGGTCCAAGCCGAATGTCATGGGGACGAACGCTGACACAAAAAACTTGCGAACGAACGGCGATGTGGGGGCACAGAGGAAGATTTTAGCACAGCTGGGCCTGTGGCGTGGAAGAAGAATCAGATAAGAACGAGAAGAGAAATTCTGAAGCTTTTGGTGAAGCTGAGTTGTAAGGAAGAACCATTTAGTGTATTAACTTGAGAGAGGAAGAGGAGGTTAGAAACATTGAGCCAGACGAGTTTGTAGAAAATATTTGATCTCCAACATCTAGCCACAAACTAACAAGCAGCTGTGTCATATGCAAAGTCAAAATTGCTAGTTATGTTCCCTATAAGCAATAAAGAGCAAATTGTTGCAGCCCACGCAAAGTTCAACAGAGCAAATTGGAGAGCTTGCATATGTAGAGTGTCCTAAAACTATATGTACACTGTTCGATCGTTCATATCTCCCTTCCTAAGAATTCCTTCGTCTTCAGGTACCATTTTGTAGGGTCGGCATCGGCTTAGAATTATTACTTTATGAAGCGAATTACCTATCGTTCACTGTATGAGCACCGTAGAAACTTTCAGCATACAGCACAATTGCGAAAAAGGTCTTTTAGAACAAAATCTTTGGAAAACTCTGCAAAGCTTTGTTTCAAGGCTTTCAAGCATGCTGATTTTATTGATAACTTCTTGTAACTTCCTTAAGCTTTCTTATTGGTGTAATCACATTTTTGAGGGAAATGTAAAAACAGCATTTTTCTATCTCGCATAACTCAAACGAAGAACTGCAGTAAAGCGCAGATCTATTATTGGGATTTGGCGGCTAAGCCTAGCATGAAATTTTTCACCGTGCTTAGTTTTCTTTCTGAGATAAAATGTGGCCCTCCATGGTCCAGGACCCTAATCAACTTTTCTACAGTCATCTCACAGTAGTGAGGAGCGATCAGAGATACGCTTCATACTGTAAATCTAAGTTGAAGCCAGCTCTGCACAATGATGCTTGAAAGTAGGCAAAAGACTTTCTGAGGAGAGAGATATTGAAGAAAGAACAATGTGTATATACTGTGTTTATTCGTTTGTTTAGCCACGACCGAGATTGGTAGTAATTTTTTATTTAGGCTAACGTTTCGGCAATAATTCGCCTTCTTCAGAGCCCGAAATGGGCGAAAACAATTTACAGACTACCCGATCAAACATTTCCTCAACTCTACAGGCAAAATTCTAAGCTTTCTTTCGACCACGAGCAGGCTGAGCAGCCTTCAGGCCTCTGAAGAAGGCGAATTATTGCCGAAACGTTATCCTAAATAAAAAATTACTACCAACCTCGGTCGTGGATAAACAAACGAATAAACACAGTATCCGTCATGCTGAGATTTATAGAAAGTCGAACTTTCCAATGTGTACATAGTTTTGTGATACCCAGTACATTAGGTTGTTCACGTTTTGCAAAGAATAAAAAAAACAGCTGAAAATGTACAAGAAAACGACTTTTATGCTTTCGAATAAATTTATGTTTATTTATGCTATATACTTTCTTAAATATAACAAATTTTGTACTATATTGTGGGATCACACATTCAATAGCGAAGTCAAAATTCGAAGGAAGATTCCAGGAATCATGTTTTCTAACACAAATGGCGATGGACAGGAATGCTACGAGCTTACACTTGTAAGAGTATGTAACCAACCGGGCCCTCAAGCATTTTTGCGAACAAAAGAAGAAAAATTATGATCTGAATTGTAGATGGTATCGCCAAGATTTGATAACACTGTTTTCGAAGAGGCAGTAAGCCAACGATTTGAGCTTTTCAATAGAACTTGACGAAATTTCAT